GCAGATGAAGAAAGCTGCTCAAAACCGAGTTCGGTGGAGAGGTGTGGTTGCTGCCCTATGCTCCCCTGGGAGTGCACAGGATTAAGAAGAAGAAGAAGAAACTAGTCAAAAGTCCTGGATACATTTTTTGTCCATTATTTGTCATTAATGGATTACATATTAACATTATTGTCATGACTCTTGGTTTGTAGCATACAGTGTTGTACTTTGCAGACCCTGTGACATACCTGACTCAAAAATGTATTGGCTATTGTCATTAGTTTGGACCCAACAGCTGTGTTCAGGGCTGTCCTCAGACCAATTCAACCTATGCGGCTGAAATGGGACCCGCACTTTCATAGGCCCCGCGCTAATTCTAGGTGTAAATTATTTAATTAAACCATTTTAACTTATAACAGGGTTCCCAAGGCCTCCTGATTTTCCAGGAGCTAATGGAAGTCTCCTGAAATTATTAAATTCTCCAGAAAAATTAAATTCTCCAGAAAACGCATACAAATCTCCTGAAAAATAGGAAAAAAAATGATCATATTGGGGTGTCATTCATTTAATTGATGTTAACAATTCATGAACTATTTGGCAATTCTTGCTTTTGAGCGTGATCTACTGTAGGAAACAGAATTTTGATGATATACTGTATGACTTCACTACATGCAAGTCTTGTAAAGTTAATTTGATCGTGATTTTTTACATATTAAAGAATGAACAAAATGCAAAGACCAATTTATTTTCTAATATAAAATATTAATTTTCAATTATCATCCTTATCCCCACCCAGACAGGGTCCTGCGCAATCTGTTTTGCATCGGACCCTGCGATTGTTAAGGCTGAGTCTGGCTGTGTTGATAATTTTCTAACTTTAACCAATGTCCAGGCTCCGATCTTCTCATACCTGAGATAAGCCACAACTGAAGAAGAAAGACCAAAGAAATGAACTCCTTTTGTTATTCTGACTCCTCTGGTATTCACTCCCTTGATAATCGAATTTGTTTATTGCTTCGTTTTTTTGGGTGGCTTTTGAAAAAGTGTCCTCTCTGTTTTGTAGCGCAATGTTTATTATATATTATATATAATTATTCTTGGTCTCCTTCTATCAACTCACTCTGTCTGGTAAAAAGTTTGTACACGTTATTTCTCCCACACCCATTCTCGGACCAACCTGAAACTTCACACAATTATTTATTGACATAAACAAGACATGAATCAATGAAAAAGTAATTTTTTAGACAATTAATTACTGGTAATTAATTATTTTTTTTAATATCAAAAAGGGAAACGTATACTTAAGTATTTACAGATATGCCTAAATTTGTTGAGTTTAGTTTAGTTTATTGGTAATTAATTTTTTTTGTTTGAAAAGGGAAATAACTTGTACATTATTGGTAGATATAGTTTTAAGGACAGAGTTCTTCCCTTTAGATAAGCTTTGTATTTTATTTTTTAATTTTTTTATGATTTTTTTTTTTTTTTGCTTGTTTTTTTATTTGCACTAACTATAATATATTTTTGTTATAATTTTTTTTTCCAGATTCTTATCTCAATGACCAGTATGCTGAGAACAAGATAGATTTGAATTATATCAACATTAACTGCAGAAAGATTAGCTTTGCTCCAAACCCCACCATCCCAGAGTACACTCTGCCAGAGTCACCTGTACTCTACGACAAAGAGCTGTCCTATGCTGAGACACCATCGTTGTCTTACGTTGAAGTGACAGACCCTTCAGATGCATTCTCTGATGTCCTGCATTCTGATGATGTCTACACTGAGATAAAACAGAGTGATAACTCTAGTGACCTGTATTCTGAAACAGCCTATCCTAAATCTAATCACACAGATGAATACAGTTATGGTTTTGAAAGTAGTCCTTCTGTTACTGGCCCAGCTAGAAACCAACACCATCCAGACCATGCAGTAGTGAGACCTTCAACTCCTGTGGTCCAGAAAGTTTTCACAGATGATACCACCAAGAGAAGTCCAGTTGTTGGCATCAAATATGCTGAAAATGATGATGGTCTGAAGACTATAATCCCAAGGCCTACTGTGGAATATTTTGGAAAAAGCAACAAAGTTGCAGTCAATGATAGACAGAGCCCAAGGCTTGCTGACTACAGACAAAGCCACAGGCCTGTTGTCGATGTTGACATTAGTGACCACAAATCTGTAGTGGAAGTGGATGGATACATTGAAAATCCTGTCGCAGAAAACACATCAAATAACAGACAATTGCAAGCAGACGGAGAGATAGACAACAGCCACATTGACCCAGTACAGGTTATCAAACTCAAGTTTGAGAGAACCTTCAGTGACACGTCAGACAATGAGAAATCAAATATCTAGAAGTTTAAACATTTTTGACACTGCAGGAACTCTGAAACAAAACAAATCATTACTTTGAGAATTTGATCTGCTCTGGCCCTTGTGTATATTTCAAACATTTTCCAAGTTATTTGTATAGAATTTTTTCCTGTGTTCCTTGGTTTTAACTGTTATGTTGAGGGAATTCTTGATGTAACCTCTGTAATATATAATAAGTATCACCACAAGCTAATTATTCTATTATTATTTGCTCTCAAAAACTGTAAGGCAACCTAGAAATAGTTCATTGTTTCTATATTGTGGCCTAATTTAGAATAGACCTGTTGTTTTCCAGCTATTCAATGTCCTGGCATGTTAGAGATTTCTTGGTTGAGAAATGTTGCTGGACACTGTCCACTGGAAGCTGTAAGAAATCTAAATTAGAGAGAGTGTTGGTGTATAAGTAAAGTTCCCCTTTCAGACCATGCAATCTATAGGGCAGATGATGTTAAAATCATCTGTTTCTGTGGCAAACGGTTAACTAAGGTATCATGTGGTCAGCACAACAACCAACAAACTAATGCCAGGTATGGTACACATTAGAGTCGGGTGGACACAGGAGCACCCAAAATTCAAAATACCAGTCTTTGAACCCTAGACTCCTCGGTTTTGAAGCCAAGTGCTTACTCAGCCACCACACTCCTGAAAATCCCCAAAAGTCATTTAGTATTCTGTGATAGGTACCAAGCCTTAAATTTAGTTTTAGTCTTTACAAGAATGCAAGAAGAAAAGGGCAAAAACAAAACATTGCTTAATACAGTGACAGGTCATGTACAGTCCTAGTTAGTTTTATTCAGTGACAGGTCATGTACAGTCCTAGTTAGTTTTATACAGTGACAGGTCATGTACAGTCCTAGTTAGTTTTATTCAGTGACAGGTCATGTACAGTCCTAGTTAGTTTTATTCAGTGACAGGTCATGTACAGTCCTAGTTAGTTTTATTCAGTGACAGGTCATGTACAGTCCTATTTAGTTTTATTCAGTGACAGGTCATGTACTGTTCTATTTAGTTTTATACAGTGACAGGTCATGTACTGTCCTAGTTAGTTTTATACAGTGACAGGTCATGTATAGTCCTAGTTAGTTTTATTCAGTGACATGTCATGTACAGTCCTATTTAGTTTTATTCAGTGACAGGTCATGTACTGTTCTATTTAGTTTTATACAGTGACAGGTCATGTACTGTCCTATTTAGTTTTATACAGTGACAGGTCATGTACAGTCCTAGTTAGTTTTATTCAGTGACATGTCATGTACAGTCCTATTTAGTTTTATACTGTGACAGGTCATGTACAGTCCTATTTAGTTTTATACAGTGACAGGTCATGTACAGTCCTATTTAGTTTTATACATATGTGTATGTGAGTCTTAGCATACAATGAAGGACCAATAAATCAAGTGATGGATTTTATTTTCATTTCTGCAGACCAGACATTTTGTGTATTTAAAAAAAAAAATTGGCTAAATGCGAGATAATTCCTATGCTTCTGGTAACAACATTCCTAGACATGGATGATTCCCATGCTTCATGTTTCAACATTCCCAGACTGCTTCGGGCAGAATGTGTTCATAAGATTCATTGTACTGCCAGCTTGTATTCTTCATTATGGCCAACCTTAGGCAGGTTGGGAACCTGGGAACTGGATGGAAGAGAATACCAGTTCCAGTGCATGTTCCTGTGACCTGTTGATCTTGCTTCAATAATTTTGGAAAAAAATCGTGTTCTGTACCAGTGCATTCTAATACATGTATTAATCAACCACAAAGTTGAATTAGGATGTTTGATGATCCATATGACTGGAGTTCTATTGCGTCCCAGAAGTCCAGTCGTTGGCTTGTTGTGTTGTCATATAACTCTTGTTCCTTTGATTTTATTTGTACACTGCTATACAATCATTCATTCCATCCTAGTCAACATTTCATCTAGTGCCTATTTTTTGTTTGCTATCTAGCTAAACTATTACATGACATATTTTATATCATGACAGAGTTCTGAGTTCTTATTACCTTAATTTTAGTGACCATACATGACAAATGTCAAATTTTTTTTTTGTAACTGAAAACAGTGATGTAGATAAATGTAAAATTGTAATATGAATGTCGTGAATGTCTTTATTCCCTAACTATCCTAGCCTTTTACTAGTTTTTACTTGTTACTGGTATATATTACCATTTTTTTTTTGTAGTGAAACACAACAGACAATTGCTCACTGAGAATATTTGCTTATATGTTTAACGTGCAAATGGCGGTTGTGTTATTTCCCAGAATAATTAATGACTAATGAACCTAAAATTTTAATGATAGATCTAGTTATGCTTATTTGTATATAAAAATTTAAAAGATTTTTTGTTTACCTACCTACAATGTCCTTTTATTCAAATTCCTTTCAAAATTATGCCATCCACTTTGCTTATCTTTGATTATATCACTAGTCTAAATTTATCATCAAGAGGGGAAATAATCAGATAATGACTTAGTATATAAATTATGAAGAGGATGTTGCGTTAGCGTTAAACTAGAGAATGGCATTAAAAAAAATGTTTTCAACTTTGAATGATTTGTTGTTGCTGTTTGTTTGTTGATATAAAAACTAATCATTGTGGACAAGTTGAAGATGTACATTAATGTTCTTATTCAAAAATTTAATGTTCCAAACACATTTGTATGTTCCAAACACATTTGTATGTTCCAAACACACATACACATACATACTCTCACACAATTGCTCAGTTCACTGAATAGTTATATGCATTGTGCATCAATTAAATACAAAATTTGCAACGCAAGAATTAAGAATACATCTTTTTCTGTGATTTGGAAATGTCTTTCAATATATCAGTGGATTATAACAATGACAAACAAAAAAATAACACCCCAACAAATTAGTTTATAATTTGTGCTCATTTTATTTTCAAAGTTGTCTCCCTTGTATTGCAGAGAAGCATATTTCGAAATTTTTTTTTAAAAGGGGGGGGGGGGGGCAGGTTATTGTTTTACAATCTATTCTTATTGACACTGTGCCATAAAAATATTTTAAAGTTTCGAGTAGAAGCCGTCTCAAATAGATTTTTTTAAATTTTAGTTTATCAGATTAAAATGTGAGATAGATTGTATGCATTTTGTTCTAAAGTTGTTTTTCATGTATGTATTCTTTTCATGTTGTTTCATTCATGTATATACAATCACACCAGATCTAGCTGAGAGAAAACATTTCCTTGATCTAATATAAGTATTATATGCAATAATATAGGCAGATTATGCATTCACACCACAAACTATTGTAACATTCAGGCTTGCATAACTCATTCTTTATATGTTCACATGTTTAATGGCACCCATCCTTTTAATGAAATCAATGTCAAAACCTGCTAATTATATTGCTTACATCACCAAAACAAAATATTTTTTAATATACCCGGTAACGAGTATTGGTCAAGGGAGTTAATATATTTATTATAATTAAACTTTCAACTATGGTTGCCTGCCCATTCTTTTTTTTTTTTTAATATGTAATCTCTCACTAAATTTAGTGAAGCTTCATTTTGTGATGAAATCTGTTATGTACATATTTTTTTATTCTTGTTTTCACATATATTGCTGAATAAATATCCAATATGCTGTAATTAGTTATCTCCCCTTGTTTTCTTTTGCTTTTGATTGGTGTGTTTTGTTTGTTTAATTTTTCAAATTCCTTGCAATTTTATTCTGCAATGGAAAGTAGACCGTATACTGCTAATAAAAATAAAGTACCCCTTTCAGACCTTGTGATCTATAGGGCAGATAATGTAAAGGTCATCTGTTTCTGTGGCCCACGGATAACTAAGGTGTCATACGACCATCACAATGACCAACCACCTTTACTTTTCCCCAACTAACGTCAGGTATCCTTTAGAGCTGGGTGGACTCAGAGGCGCCCAGAGATCCTGAAATTAAAAATCCCAGTCTTCACCAAAATTCAAACCCGGACGCCCAGTTCGGAAGTCAATCACTTTACCATGCCTCTCGTATACTGCTAATAATGACATGAAAACATTTTCGTTACGTTTACCTAAAGAATGAAATAGTTAAGACTTTCTAATATTTAAATTGTGTTTCAAACAAAAATGTGGCTTAAATTTTGAATTAGCATTAATACATAAAATGATAAAACACAGCCAAAACCAATACAAACAAAACATACGGTAATAAAATGCTCAGTAAGACGCTATGATAAACATACATTTCTTATTCCTTATGCTAGGACAAATTCATTGGGGGTGATAGCTGAGTATTGAAGTGCTTAGCTTCTGAACCGAGAGTTCCCCCCCCCCCCCACCTCACTCCATTAGGTACCTGACATTAATTGGGGGAGAGTAAAGGCGGTTGCTGTCTCCATGACACCCTCGTCAACAATGGACTACATACACAGGTGATCTTTACAATATATGCCCTAAAGATTTTCTTTACCTATCCCTTAGTCACGTTGGGGCACCATGCAAGATTTGACGACCGTCTTTCTCCATTCCTCTATGTCTTTTGCCTAAGTTAGAATGGCAGGCCCGGCCAGTCTTTTATATTGTCCTTCCATCGCTTTCTTTGTCTTCCTCTTCTTCTTTTTCCTGGTACTGCTCCCTGAAGGAAGGTCTTTGCGAGCCCAACAGACCTTGTAATATGGCCATAGATTACAAAGTTTGAAAGGGGTGTTTTACTAAGACTAAATCGTACAAGAGATCTTTCTTCCCTAGTGCCAATAGAGCATGTTGTGGATTGCCTGGATCAGCCAGGGAAAACAGATAACTTAGCAGAGTTAAGTCTCGAATCAACAAGCACGACTAGATTAACACACATGGATACGTGAAGGGTGGAATAATTTGTTAATGAGGTTTATAAGATAGCATCTCGAGTATCGTGTTTTGCTGTGTAATCTATTCCAGTGTAAGGCATTCACTTTGTATAATGTTGTTCATGTATTTATCCCTACGCCTGCTGACAGCTCTAGAAATAGTCTCTATATCGTTCTAACTCTGTTACAGTGCACATGGTGCGTATCGCACCGTTCAGATCCGAGGCCGAGAGACATTGTCGAGAAAAAAAAAAAAAAAGGAGTAACAGAATTCCGCCCAGAGGCAGAGAGAGAGACGCCATTTTGCCCTTTAATGAGGAGACGAGATTTAAAGAAACTGTTCTGGTCGTTAACGTTACGAAGTTCTGTAGTAAATAAGTTCTCGAAGTGTCGTCTGTTGGCCTGTGTCGGGAAGACGTTCCTTGGGAGAGGAACACTTGTTATGTGAAAGTTCAGCATTCCAAACACTTATATGTGTAAGTGCAGTATTCCAAACACTTATACGTGTAAGTGCAGTATTCCAAACACTTATATGTGTCAGTGCAGTATTCCGCATACTTATATGTGTCAGTGCAGTATTCCAAACACTTATATGTGTATGTGCAGTATAACAGTGTGAGACTGCCGTTCTAGAGACCGTACTGGCTAAGAATAATGACAATGACTTCGATTCCGAAGATTAGGGATGAGTGCAGTGTTTCACATGACTACGCAAACCCAGTTGTAACCTGCATATTTTTTTTTTTTTTACATCTAATGCAGGCAAAGCCGTTGTCCGCCGGGGGTCTATTTAAGTTTTCATTGCGCCTTCTGTGTGTGTCCCGCGGTCTTCGTGAGAGCCCTCCAACTGTCTCTTTCGGAGACTATTGACTATCTACTATCAGCAACTTTACTCTACGCTAATGAGGGCAGTATGGCGCCTTAGTTGATCTATATAGCGCTTACCGGAGCACCTCTGTTGTAATTGCGGGGGTGGCTAAGATACAGGCAACTTAAAGCTCAATGTGCACATAACTCTGAAGTGTATTTCGTCACTGTATACCATTTTCATTGTGTAAATAATCATCCAAATTCTCTCCCTTCGTTTGAGTTCCTTGATTAAATTGATTAAATTAAATTCTTGATGCTACAAAATCAAACGTTTGGACAACATGTATGTGTGTCACTCAGTGGCGTAGCATCCATGGAGCGAAGGGGCTCAATGAACCCAGGCCCATGACCATTCGGGGCCCACTGCGCTTGGGCCCATAACTCTTGAGTTGTTGAGAACTTGGGGGTGACACCAAAGTGAAAAAATAAATTCACTTTTGTAAAAACCGATAAAAATAGAATGTAAAAAGCTCCCTCAAAATTCCTGAAAGTTGTATCAACATTACTATTCACTTCAAAACCAGTGTTTGAAGCTTTAATGTAAGGATTTGCTTTGCATGATGTTTTGTAAATTGAAATGGTGGCTAGCCCTAACCGTGCGTGTAGAATTTAGGGTGACAATCGTTTCCATATTATCCCATTCTTTTTTTTTCCTTGTCTGTTCATAAAACCATTGGTAGTATTACAGAAATGGGGGGGGGGGGGGAGGGTTGGGGAGAGTTTGGCTAAGAAACAGGGATAGACCTGATTGTCACGAATTAAAATTTCGATAATTGCAAATTATTCAGTTTTCTCAAAGCTCAATTGTTTTTTATTTGTTTTGTATTTAAAATAAGTAATATCATCATTTCATAGTGCTGAAAGCTGTCGGTATGTTTTGCAATTATAGCGTTCATGCTGATCTGTCAGCTGGTAAACGCACCAACAAAATCATTAACTATGAACATGAAAAACTGATCTTGTTTTGACCACACGCTAATGCTCCCATGTCTGCGACTATGACTTTATTATTGACGAACTCCATCGGGTATAGTACAATGAACAGTGTATTTGATCATGAACTATATACAACTTCTCAATAACCTTGATTGCTCAATAGTATTATATGCACGTATATCTGCGGATATATTAGTCTGAACAGTGTAAATGATCAGGAACTATATACAGCTTTTCAATAATCTTGACTGCTCAACATTGATGCGTTAACCTGTTTGTCTTGTGTGTTATTGTAAGTGAAAGATAATCTGGTAGTCTGGCCAAAAAAATTAGTCTGACATAAAGAAAAATTAGTCTGACATAAAAAAAAAACTATTGAATCCGAAGAAGTTTACATTGTGAAATGTATGACATTTAATCAAGACGATGCTTCATCGAAAGTCTTCATCGCATTGTTTTGTTGTCTTCTGTATTGCATACAAAATGTGAATGTAAATCATTATATCAGAATAGAAAGGAGATGAAATTTAAACAAAATAAAAACAATATTTGATACTTAGCAAGCCAAAGAAACATCAGAGTGTTAACATAGGAATCGTTGAATTTGAATAGGTTTGTGCTATTGCAATGAATGAGGAAACTTGAGGAGCAGGTTTATAACCAGATCTAGAAGATAGATAACTAATTTGATCATGAAATAGTGCCATTCACTGACCAATGCTTAGTATTTGGTTGAAACTTGGTTCATAGCTCTTAAAGAAATTTAACGCCATATATTTGTACAAAAACAGAAAATTGCTATGAATATTCAAATTTGACAGGAAAGCCCAACAGATTCAAAACGAGATAATAGATCTGTTGGGCAATGCAGTTCTGGAAAAAAAATACCGGTACTATAGGATATCAATTCTGTACCATTTGTCTTTTTCATTGGTGGCAGCGCTCAAGACAAATAAAAAGTTGATATCAAACTCGTATTATTTTATATACTGTTAAGTGATCTCCGTTGACGGAACATCCAAAAGAAATAGAAATTAGATAGTCATTTCTAGGTTATCATATTTGTGAGTATCAAACATCAGCAGAATTTGCTGAACAAATGCTCCAAGTAATTAAAAAAAAATTAGCATTAAATAGACTACTAGGCTAAAGCTATGAAGATGCTTCCAATATGATTGGATACTAGAATGGCCGTTGGGCATTGTTTCATTAGAAGAAGCCGCTCTCGCATTTAGAAATAGATGCACTGGTTTCTTACTTTGCTACTTAAAAGGGCAGAAAAATGTTAGTCAATAAATATTCGATCTATTTACTGTTAAATAATGGATGTAGAACTAGATACTAGTTTGTATC